CAGTTAAATACAATCAATCAATCAATGAACCTGCCCAGGAACTACAGGTGGAAATTAGCACTGGTGCTACACCACACAATGCATCTTTCCTGTTAAGGTTAATGTAAAAATTGTGCGTTGTCCCTGTCTCATTAAATAAATAAAAGCTTGCAGGAGATTGGTATTTTTTATTTAGTTCACAGACAATACTATCTTAATAGGTGAGGCATTCTTTTTTAAATTACATTTTCTTGTATAAAGTGTAGTGTTTTTAATGGCATTGTATATGCCAGGTTCCAATCAGAACAGACCTCTGCTCTTTGATTGAGTTTTCTTTTCACCTCTAGATAAACTCACTTATTCATCCATAAGTAGGAAGAGAAATACAGTGAGAAAGGTAATGCACAAGTTAAGGCAGGGTAATCTATTCAAGACTCAAATGTATGAAGCTTCACACAAGCAGTTGATTCACAAAAAAAATCAAATGGAGCAAAAGAGGAAGAACACTGAAAGTTTTTGACACATTAATTTCATTTCATTTAGTTTGAGCAACATGATAAACACAAGAATATGTATGTTGGGACCATTTCCGTTGCTCAAAAGGAGTAGGTTGCAGTTTAAAACACTTATCATGTTCTAACCCAACACAACACAATTATCATTGTCAGTAACAGAACATTTATGAAGAATGGCTTTAAGTGGCAGATGTGGTGCTTTCTAACAATGTCAGCAACAAGAATCCTGTGAAGGTCAAGATGTATTGATATAAAATACAATACGCTGATATGGAAATCACTCAGTACAATGTATTTTTAATAAAAATTGCATTGTATACATTTTTTTATACAATGCAATGTAATGGAAAATGTAAAAAATGTAACAAAATCAACCTGTGACCTAAAACTAAATATTAATTCATGGGGAAATCTATAACATTAATTGTCTTAAAGTCATTCAATGTTAAACTCACTGATACTTATTCTAAATACTTACTTATGCATACTTTTAGATCACTATATAGTGCATTGTTTATATTGCATCTCCCAACTTTACTGCAATTTGGCCTGTTTCCTCTCCGTCATTCCATACAGTACTTCTCTCTTGTGCTTGACAGAAGAATACACCTTATGTGTGTACTGTATGTGCTGTATGTGTGTAGTGTATGTGTGTGGGGGGGTCCACGCACCTACATGCACATTATCATTCCCTGTCCCTGGAGGTGAGCCTGGCAGTCAGACAGAGCAACACAAGCAACGACAACAGGATGTCTGTGCAAAGCCCCTGTCAGGCATCATCGGACAGCAGCAGCAGCATGTGGTAAGTGTTGTGGACTCCTGGGATATACCAATACAGACTCAAGTATACACGCTTCACAGTACATGTGTGTGTGTCTTTGTGCAGGGCACACTGCTACGTTGCACTTCCTGGTGTTCGAACACTTTCAATGGGACCTTGACAAGCAGCAGCCTGACGAGTGACTGTGCCACTGAGCATCGTTATAGCAACACACTGTCTTACTCAACAACAACATTCTAGCAGCGCTCCCTCCCGGCTCACACTGACCACTGTCATCAGGAGGCACATCACTCATACGATTAACAGGACGAGGGCCATTGACTTGGTGTCATAAGCACTGATAGCACAGATGATGGAACAGATACATAGAGTAGTGGGCATTTGAATAGTCATAAAATTAGGTTAAAAAAATATACAAGTTATACAAGTTATATTTACAACAGCTAAGCCAATAGAGTTTCATTGATCAAGTTATTATATAAAGTTGGTAGTCAAATAAGCAGCAATTCAGTTAAAGGACACTCTGCAGCATACTGTCGCTCTCTGTAGGAGGTTGGCATCTGGTATCCCATAATAAGTTGTAACTGTAGCACTGGACTAAACTGGAACTAAACCTACAACTTAACATAGGACTAGAACAAGACTAGAACAGGCCTAAACAAGGCTCAAACAAAGATAAAGGATTGCATGCATGAACACATAGTATTATCACTCATTTTTAGTTGTTAGTATTTTTTATCACCAAAAACACCACCAAGAGTAGATGTCTCCTCCTGCCCTGACTCTATAAACCATATTTGCTCTAACATTAAAACACCCTTTGAGTTGAAGCGCTCAGCTCCACAGACTGAGTCAGCCCGTGCCATGGCATAAATAAAACAGCATGTTTAAAGGGGACACTAGGGCAAGAAGGTAGGGGATATAGAGAAGATAAAACAAACAGACATCAAAGTTTAAAAAGTGTATTTGCTCAAAAGTAACTGTGAAGTTAGGCACTACACACAGCTCTGATGACGTAGACTTGAGACTTGAGAAGAAAACAGGTGCATAATGACATATTAAGCAGTGTATTGTGAAGCCCTGATTATCGAGCCATATTTACACACAATCCTTTAGCAAACTCTCACAGCCAATTTGGCAGGAAATGTCAATGCAAGTCTAAATCTTACAGTCTGTCTAAATCCCCTAATAATGCGCTAATACCAGTGTGTAGGAGCTCTAAATCTACTCAGAAGAACAGTGCCACATATATCAACAAAATGAAGTGCAGCTGTAGCCGAGCATGTGCTCTCAAAAGAAAACAATTTGCCCATTGCCTCAGAGATAATCATTGCTCTGTGCACAGGACATCCACAGGATGTCATGTCAGGGTGACAGTGGCACTTCATTTACCATATACTCTCTGTTTTGCAAACCTAGTCTTTCTCCCTAAAATAGAATGCTGTTAACATCTACAGGGCATTTACATTTCAGTAGAAAGGGTATTATTATCTTTTTATGATAAAAGGTTGTAATATAGATTATTCTGACAGAATAACTTTGTTGCTGTCCTCTGAGCTGGGCTGCTATCTGAAAACAACATTTTAAAAGCAAAGGTAGAGTGCAATCACACCATGCCATTTGGGCAAAAGCTCCCTGCGTTCCGCCTGTTGTAATGACTTTTCCCAACACCAGCGCTCTAAGTGGCCATCCAGCAACACACAGCGTGCTTTGGGCTGACCTGGAAATGTGAGCTCTTACCTGCCCCACATGCAGCTGGGCATGGCTCTGTGTGTAGATGCTCCACTGCTCCTCTGCACAGCACAGCTCCAGTAAGAGCCTGTCACTGCGGAGGCCGGTGGCACTGAGACGTGACAGCCACAACACTGGGCTGGAGCACAAATGATGTTTTGAGCTGGTGATGTAACATTCAGGGCAGGAGAGCTGCTCAGGGCTGCTGATTTGACCTTCTGTCCACGTCTGTCTGGACTGTCTCCTAGTAAAACTGTCAGTGATTTGTCAAACTGTACTTGATATCTGTTGCACTAAACACAATGCACATGAATTACATAAAACTGATGAAAATGTCGAAATAAAAAAACAGTCTCATCCATCCAGCATTACACATTACACATTGTGGTTGTAGAGAACAACATCTAGTATTCTAGTTAGAGAGATGGGAGAACAACTTTTGTGAATAATGAAGCTCTTGCCCAAACACAGACACATCCCCAACTCTCGCCTGCATTAACCCATGGAGTACATGGCTATTACAAAGATGTTATCCTTGAATAAGATAGGATATTATTTCTCCAGAAGCTTTCTTTCAGGATATGGTATATTAGAAAGAAAAACTAATGACCATGTTTGTAGACAGCCACTCAAGGACACTGGCAGGAAGGATGAGTTTTTTTCTATAACATTTACTTAATGTACAAATCCATCATTGAAATCTCTATTCAACAGCTTTGTACAAACACAAAGTGGTTGGAGAAAATCAATCACTCCAGCCATCAGAAGAGATGAATTTTTCATGAGAAATTAACACATTAGTTTGATATAAGCTTGCTGCCTATTGAATAAATCTGTGCTGCTCAGTGACCACCACACACATACACAGTCACACACTGAAAAGATTTTGATCCAAAGATTCTGCTAGGGATTTGCGATAGATTTTTCACCCCAAAAACTTCCTGAGCTCTGGTCTGTGACAACCACTTTTACTATATTCACAGAGGTTGGTTGCTGTGTTGCTGTCATATAAGCAGAGCTTGTAGCAGTTAAAGTATTAAGTCCTAATATCATTACGCCTACGTATATCATGTTTGTGTTGCTTTAAAATCTTTGCTGCCCATATCTGCTTCAAAGTGTTTTTCCTCCAGCACTTTTCTGCAGCTCTGCAGTTCTTCAACCGTTCACTGGGCAGACTGTGACCTTATCACACATCTTTTTTTTTTTTTTCAATTCTTGACGCCTCTATAATGTTAGAGGAACTTGATTTATACAATATAATTTCAAATGCACTTTAGTCATGCCTCTATCCTTGAAAGTGGATAATAATCACAAACCAAAGGTCCACTTTTCAAACAAGTTATAAAAGTAAATGAAAGATTAAATTGAAATGCATAGTGATTTTCTTCAAGAAGATGGAGATATAAACCTTAAATGTCCAACTGTCTCTCACAAAACAACACAAATACAAAAGAGCACATCAGGTTATCAAAATTCCTCCCAAATAAGATTACATTAACTAACCATAATGTAGAATTATTATTTATTTATTGTTATTTTAGTGATCTAACACTTTTTGTGGTAGCCTTATGGAGTATACAGCTATTGTACAGATGTTATCCATGAAGTGCGAAAAACCTTAATATTAACTTCACGAATGTAAGTACATTTGTCTCGATCAACCAACTCGTGGATGCTACCATCACGGTCAAATGAGTCAGAGTTGCAAGAAGTGAAGCAACACACCCCCTAAATCCATGGCAACTGGACTCTACTAACGCAGCCAAAACAAAACGCACAAATAACGAATAATTACGCGTGAAAAATATACGAATAGTAAGTATTCTCCGTGAAGAAATCTGTTCCTATAGTTTGTTTTGAAGACAGCTAGCAGACCTGACCACCTACCACTTTTACTAAGCGATGTCAAAACAAAAGCGCGCAGTAGAGGCCATAACATAAAAAGTCCAAACATAAGACTGCTTGAGTTTGCCAAAGTTAGCCAAAACTCTTACCTTGTTTGACACATTTGAGTCGGACCGGGTCTTTACAGTGTTGGACCACAGCATGGACGTCTCTAGTGGTGAGTCCAGCCACGGGGGTATCATTGACTTCCAGTAAGAGTTCATCCTGGAGCAATTTCCCGCTGTGGCAGAGCTGTCTGTCCGGGAGAAGCTCGCCGATGACCGGGAACTGTCCATTCTCCGCGCCGCCCTTCAGTTGCAGCCCCAGGTTCCCCTCCTCATTCCTACAAAGAACACTCTCATGGACTTTGTTGGTCCAGTGGTTCTTTCTCTTCTTCAGGCTCTTGGACATGGCTCACACAAGGAAAATCACATGAGTGCGGCCGCGTATGAAGTTTTAGCGCTCTCTGAAGTCCCACCGCGCCGCCGAAACACTTTTATGTTCCAAACTTCAATAGAGGAGGACAGTTGTGTCACATCCGCGCACGCACTCTCGCGCACAGCAGCTGGATCATCCGTCTGCCTTTTTACTGAAAGCTGCCCGACTTGTGCTGCGTTCAAGTGCAACATGGGATATAAGAAATGTCATACTTTCCCATGTGAAAGTCTTTGTCTTCAAATTGCGCGCTCGAAACAATTACGCAAAAGTAAAATGTTTTTGGTTAATGTTGGTTTTCGGTCAGTAGCGCCTAAAAACAGCTAGAGCTCCTTTTGCATCGTGTCAACACTTACTAGTTTCGTGGGAGACGCTTTAAGCAGAAGTACTTGAACATAACATTCGCCTCCAACAAAACTAACCCGGATGTGAGGGCTGGAGGAGAAGCGGAGGAGGAGGGAACGATTTTTCACCAAATCTGGTATTCCATGAAAAAAAGAAAAAAGGAGAGACCAGGATTTGCTCTGGCCAGTAAGATACAGGGAGTAGAAAGTGAAACGTTTTCTTAGACCGAATTTAAGGTTATAAACATTACATCACAAATTGTTATAATAACAGTTACAAACTCATACAGTTACACATTTAATCTAATAAATATGGCTACAATAAGTCACATGATCTATAGGTTAGAGCAGCCCCCGTCTGTTTCTGTCTCACACCTGAATCTGACAGCAACATTTGTTCTCAACCCCTCGTGTCTTTGTTTATATTGTTTTTGACTGAGGTACTCAAGAGAAGGGCCAGTGGATATACATGCAATGCACCTGAATAGCTTTAGTGTTAAGATATGCCCAACCACAACAGCTTTGTTGTACACCAGAGCACAGCTTTGAACAGGAAATAGAAAACAAGGGAGGGATTTTCTGAAGACACGAGTGAAAGCCTCAGTCGTAATTAAGGAATTTTCAATAATGATAGTGCTCCTCTCCTGTAACTGTATACATACATCTTGACAATAGTATTTTACTTTAATAGATTTCTGTTGTAACTTGTTCAGAGAATGTGTTTTTCTCATAGTCAATGGAATCATTTTATACACAAGGATATATCCAGACCAGGCTCTTTGTTAGTAAGTTCCTGGGACTTACTAAGAAAGAGGCTCTCAAAGTTGAAACCATGTTTAGGGGTGGGTGACATAGCAAATATCAATCATCAATTTTATTTCTTAATTTAAAAAAAAAAAGAAGGCTTAATATGAAGATTTATGAACCTAGGAAATGCAGACTATTTATTGGTCAGTGTAATTTAACGCATCAGAATACTTCTCCAAAATCTGAACTCCTCTCCAAACCTCATGCTGTGATTCAGAACATATACAGTATTTGAAGTCAACAAAGTTGACAGTAGTTGGGTTTTAACATAGAAAGCATGTTCAAAAGAGATAAAAAAGCCAAGGAAAATATCATCTAATAAACTTGAAATTTGTCCCCAAAATACATACGCCTAATTATAATTATCATTTATCTATTTATCTCAGCTGCCTGTGAGAGGAGGATGTTGTTATGGCTGATGATCTAAATTAGAAGAAAACAAACTGTAGAATGAGGGAGTATTTTATTTAACAAGACAGGAACTCTGGAGGCAGTGTTGGATTAAGAGGAGGAATACTCTGTGTGTGGTGGAGTAAGTGCCAGAATGCAGCCCAATATCTGAAGTCCTCTCAATTAAAAAACATGGAAAACAGAGCGAGATTCTCCGAAAATATTTAATACAGGTGGGGCACATCTTAAATTAACCTTGTAAAAATGCATATTGTTCTTGTAGTATAGCGCTTTTTTAGTCACGCAATAATTGAAATGATCATTTGTGAATTTACCTTTTTTATACTTTATGGCAAAACACAACGTTATCAAAAGCAATGTTATAACCCCATCTGGAATTATAACATCAATCATGTTGGTTAACATTACAACATGCTAAATTATTATGTTTACAGTATTCATGGCTGCAATTTTGCCATTTCCAGAGTTCCCCTAGGACTTCAGTATTTTTCTGGTATATGGAGCCAGGACTTAACTGACTCTTGCTCTTACTCGCTTTTATTGTTTTGTCTTTTAAAGCTAAAAATGGCTGCATTCAGGCAGATCAGTTGGATCAACCCAGAGTACCATGTCTGACACTGACACTGCCCCTGGGATCACTACACTTTTCTGCCACATTATGTCATTATAAAACGACAGTGACAGGCCTCATTGTGGCATAATTAAAACGTGTTAGAAATAAAGCAAAATGACCCTGTGATTGCTTCACGAGGAAATGATAGTCCTCTGCAAAGTGGCTCTGCAGCTTCACTCGGGTCATTGTAACAGTTTGGCAGCTGTGTCACCGTGTCACTCTTAATAAAAGGTACTGTTAATGACTGCTGGGAGATCAGCTCTGGTCTTTTCGAACATTCGGCCTACCTTTTCAGCACCATCTGTTGGGCAGTGTTGCTATTGAGAAATACATTGCAAATCACATTCTTCGGTTTTCCTCAGTTACATTTGTCACGCCACAGTAAAAGATCAGTACTCCCTATTTTTACCTGTAAAACTGTTGAGAAAAAAAAGCACTGGCTTACACTACTACTAGTAGTAGCACTGCACTAAGCTGGCAGTATTTGGGCTTTGATAGGACACAATATATTTGTGTGAAAATAGTTAAAAAACTTAGCAAATAAACACTATTTACCTGCTTTACCTACAACCTGCTTTCCAATGTATTACAACTCAAAATATTACACAAGTCAATTTTATTTTGCAGTACACATTCTGGGTCGGTCTCCTGGTTATTTTGGGGATCCCAGTCTGGGAATCAATGATCTCAGGTCTAACCCATTTAAGGCTCATAGTTGCTTACAAGTTACTACAATCTTACAGCCCATAACAGCAATGAACAACTGGATCCAACCCATTATAATCCAAGTGAAAGAAACACGCCTGCTGCTTTTCATGTGTTCCCAGGGCACAACCGTGACACAAACCTTCCAAACCTCATCAATGCACCGGCAGGTCTGCATGTCAAAGCAGCTGATTGGTTTATCCCACAATCTGTCCGGAAAATAAAAGAAGTCTGCTCAAGAATGAATCTGAGTGCAACATGACGCTGTCCGGTAGTCTCATGTTGTGTGCCAAGAATACAAGAGTTGGAGCTAGAGATACTTGTAACAGCAATGATTGTTGATACCAGATTTAACCTTTCTGGATTTGTACATCCACTAAGAAATTGTGTATAGCGATAGTAGCTCACTTGGTAAAGTGCTTGTCTTCGGAAATTAAGTTTTGGCCTGAATGGAAGAGCAAACAGTTCCCCAGTTCCAAGCACCCCCAATTAAGTATAAAAACGAGGTTCTAATTAATAGTAGAACCTAGTATCGAGACTAGATACTCATTTGAATTTAGAATTAATACTAACAAAGTCACAAAGATAGAAATTAACCTGAGTAGCTTTAGAATGATCTTGAGCTATCTCAGAACCACATAGACTAGTATGTCCATGGATCACTATGGAACCTATCTGTACAACAGAGGGATTAAACACCTATAAAGCAGCATGATAATATAAATATTTCTGTTTAATGCTGAAAATGACACTCTATTGTCTAAATAAAATGTTTTTATCATCATTGTAGTATCTGAATCACTTGCTATTCTATATATATATAAGTCTATTCCATTTTTGTTTTGTGATAAGGGTAGATTGCACTGTTTTTCAACCTTTTTTGAGCCACAAGACACTTTTTTTGTTGAAAATATTCCACAGCACACCAATGAGTGTAGCAAATACTGTCAATGCAACTGCGTCTGGTTCTTGGAATTTGGCAATGGTGGTGATTGTTTTGCTTTGCTTTTTTGGATCAGAACTACACTCAGGATACTCCAAAATGGTAGATAAATTATTCAGTTAACTCTATGTGTAAATTAGTTAACTAAAATTGGAAATGTTTTCATGGCACACCTGGCAATACCTCAAGGCGCACACTTGCACACAATCTGGTTGGAAATCAGAGGTTGGAGTATTAACACGACAACAACAAATGATGGCTGGGATGTTTATGAAGATTAATATGTTTGGTTTGAATCCAGGGGGAGAAATTAGGACTGTAACATTTATGTATTTGTGTGATATGATACAAATATCAGTGACAAGAAATCAGCAAAGAATTAGAAGATAATTTAGCTAATGTAATTAATATGGCCTGTGTATCTTTTTTAAGTTCCCTCTCAGCTTTACCTGCTTTCTAGTAACATTCCAGGTCAGACTTTTAAAGATTATTTTTTAAATATTCCAGTCTCTGTTTCAATCTCGTGAGACCACAACTTCACAGGTGCTGATTTTCCAATGTCCCTTCACCATTCCATCGTATCTGCTGGAAAAGATAAGTACCTTTCCTCCGCTCTTTGAGCTTTGAACTGCCTACAAAGCCTGGAGATAGACTCACCGGGCTTTCCTGCAGACTGGTCTCATACTACCTTTTCACACATAGTTTTACACTATCACATTCACTCATCGGCCTCCTACTGTCATCTCCATGCACATGCTCCATCATCCATCAGAGGGGAAATCCTGAGATCGCTGCCAGTCAATCAACTACCTGATGGGTCAAAATAAGCCTATTCCTCTCCTATCATAACACACGTCAGACAAAATGGCAGAAAAAATAGCTGGCATAGCCGGTTTAATATATAATATACAGGTTTGCAGATGTATAGTTTTGTAGTAAAATATTTACTGATGTTTCCTTGGGCAAAACCTCAGCCATTTTGCCTGTGGGGTCAGTGTGTGAAATGAATACAAGAGAGGAATTGGTAAATTTTCTCTAAATGTGCTTTGAGTGGTAAATACACAAATATGCCAATGACTCATTTTGTTGTAGGTTTTAAAATGTGATTATCTTCCTTATATTTATCCTATGGGCTGCAGTTTATGGATAGTGTTTGCCCATCCTTTCTCAGTGGCTTGCAAATAGAGTTAGCATACATTTTCTTGAACGTCTGCTCAGCATTAGCATGCAGCAGTGTACTCTCTATTAATGGCTAAAAAGAAAAAGCACATTGCTCTGTGTGATTTGTTATATTGATATTACATTTTTATTACACCATTAGTCATTAATGACTTGTTTAATAACAATTTTTTTCCTGTTGTATTCTCAGGAAGACAAATTTCCTGGAGCACCTCAAGCCTTACTGAGGTAATAATATTCTGCTTTGCAAACTTATTCATTTTCAACATATATTTCTGCATATAGTTTACAAAAGAACTTAAAGTATAGTGAT